CATCCATCCATTCATTCATCCATCCATGCATCCATCCATATATCAATCCATGTCAGGGTCGCAGGGACCGTGTACACAAAGCTTTGTGGCCACAGACGACTGTCATCTGCACACAGGAGAATTTGAACATCCTCACAGCCCAGTGTGAGGTCAGTAATATACAAGCTAAATAACAGAGGCCCTAAAATCAATCCTTGCGGCACTCCAAATGTGCAGATTTGGAAACGTGGAGCATGATCAACAAAACTCAACTTTATCCAAATAAATACCGATTATGGATAAAAACTAAACTGTCTTTAAGTCACAGCCCAGAGACCTTCCAGGTCTGTTTACACCACAGGTGTTGAACTCCAGGCCTCGAGGGCCGGTGTCCTGCAGGTTTCAGATGTGTCCTTGATCCAACACAGCTGATTTAAATGGCTAAATGACCTCCTCAACATGCACTGAAGTTCTCCAGAGACCTGGGAATGAACTCATCATGTGATTCAGGTGTGTTGACCCAGGGTGAGATCTCAAACCTGCAGGACACCGGCCCTCGAGGGTTGGAGTTCGACACCCCTGCTTTAAATGCTAAAGCATCTTTCTGTTCAACATTCGATTGTAGCCTTAAACACAGCATCATCCATCACAGTCCAGACGACCACGTGACCGTCGGTCCCGTGTTTGCCTCACCTGTCCCGTGGCGGCGTAGTCCTTCAGCGGGTGGATGCTGAGGCTCAGGATGTCATCGTCGTGGCCCAGGTAGAAGCGCTGGCTATGCAGCTGACGGTTGTAGACCACGCCCACCGCTGCTACGTGGTACAACACCTCCCCGCCCTGCGTGTAAAACAGGTTGTTCCTGCAGTCGTAGCCACGGTAACTGCACAGAGAAATCATTTTTTAGTATTGCACAGACACACGTGTGATCATGCACATCTTTGGCTGATGCTGTTTGCAGTTTGACCTGATGGTGGCAGTGTTGTCTCTCTGTTACACCCACAGAAACGTGTCCGTGTGGTTTCTTATTTTAATGTCTCGTAGAGGATAAATGATGATTATGCTCAGCGGTGTGTACGAGATTTTAACACAACACCGTTATAATAATATCTAATATCACTCAACCGCAGTAAAAACACGCCCCACGTGTGACCTTTAATGACATAAAGCTTGCATGTTACAACGACCACAGGCCGGCTGAGTTACCCGTGAACAAACTGCAGTCGCAGGCCTTGGTCCGGTCCTTTCTGCCTCTTCAGAGATCCAACCTGCTGCTTCTTCTCTCTGCTCTGCTGTCGCAGCTGAGGCAGGTCCTCTTTATACACCTGCGCAGACAGCAAACACGCTCCGACGCTCACGTGGAGGTAATCCAGACAGGAAACAGACATTTACACTGAAAGGGTTCTTCCTCTGGAGAGCATGAACGCCCAGCACTGCTGCTGCTGCTGCAGAGGATCAGAAGCTCAAAACACCTCAACGTACACATGCAATGAACAGATTTCAGATTCAGGGTGATTTTCACTTCTTATGAAGAGAATCGTATACAGCCATGCTGATTATCCCGAAACCTAATCTTTATTTACCCAGGAACACCGGCGACGGATAAAAACATCCCGGCTGAAATCTGTTCAATCAGCAGCAAAACAAAGTGAGGCAGCAGGTGCAGGTGAGACAAAGAATCAGAAGCTCCTGCAGGAGCTGCGATGCTCAGGAACAACACGTGCAGCCTGCAGTAACCAGCTCACCTTCAGCACATTTACCAAACATTTCATTGATTTTGCAGCTGATTGCAGGCGGATGGAGCTGCGAACCCCAACGCCTTTTTTCTCAAACTCAGTCCGAGCTTCAGAGGAAGAAGAAGTAACAAGTCTCCAAAGATAAGGACCGATACCTGCCCACACTTCTCTGATAGATGTGGGTCAGTGAGATGGCAGCGCACCAAGAATAGCCCTGTAAATAAGCACATCGCTGAGCAGAGCGTTCAACCTGCGACGGCGGTAAAAGCTTTCAGCTTTGTGACGACTGCATGTGTTAGTGCTGCAAAGCTGCAGTCAGTGCTGTGTGTGGAGGCTTTGGAGGACAGGAAGTGGTAGATCTGCTGTCCACACGCTGGCCTGCTGAGCTGCAGACTGCAGTGCCTCCACCCTCAGCACACAGACTGCACCTGCTCTTCATGTGCCGAGGTCGAGTCGGCGTGTTTGAGACTTTCGCAGGGACCGGCTTTGCTCCCTGGAGGTTTGGGACTGGCAGCGCTCCACTTTCCCTTTGCTTTCATTTACAAAACGCTGCAGAGTCACGGCGGCTGAGCGTTTAACTGTGACCGGAGACGATTCGGCTGCTTCGACTTCACCTCCAGAGACAATAAATCAAAGCCAAGCAGCTCCTTGAATTCAGTTATTGACTTTTATTTTAATCTAAAGGAGAGCACTGAAACCTCTCTGCACTTACTGCTTAATAAACAGCACTTAATGCTGATGTTCAGTTATTATGTTCATGCCAGTATGAAATAAAGCAGGTGAGCGAGCCAGCAGCCTCGGCTCAGACACATCTGTTCGCTGGTGTTTGACAGTCTGACCGTTTATCAACAGTCTGTGAGAGACGAATGTTTCCAGTGTAAACAGCCCATCAACAAGAAAAACGATTATTATTGGCAACAAGATATCTATTAGCATCTAAGAGGAACAAAGAGGTCCTGGTCGGGAAAGTGCGGTTTGTGCAGAAGGTCTTCGACCCTCCGTGTTCAGCAGCGAGCGGCGGGTGGAGCAGGAGATGGACAGGTGTGAATGATGGATGGAGGCGGAGAGAGAGCCGAGCATGAAATCAAAGCGTCGATCTCTCGTCCTCAGCTATGGCTACGAGCTGTGGGCGGTGCCAGATCGACTGAAACTACACATGGAAGAGTCACGCCTCCAAGAGGGCTGAAACCAGAAGCAGAGGGCGGGAAGGAGCAAAAACGTGGAGATGAGAAGGAAAAACTGAAAGAGGAGGTGTTTAGGAAAAGGGAGGAGAGAAGGAAGCAGGGATTATGTGAGGGAAGGGGACAGGGAAGGAAGCCGGGCAGGCTCAGCGTGGGAATTTTAATAATCCACTTTTTCAGGCTCGAGCTAATTAAGCTTTTGAGCCAGAGACCAAGTCTAAACACACACACACACACACACACACTCACACACACACTCAGCTCTATCTACAAGCAGCATATTGTTGCAACGCTGGCGGCGCCCTGCAAACAGCAGTCACAGGGACGTGTGCCAGGCAGCGGCTGGCAGAGGAGATAAGGCGTGTTTCATGATCACCATGGAAACTACACTGAGCCCTGCAGGCTGATGGGAATGAGAGCGAGGCGGACGCACTGAAGCGGGCGCCGCAGCAGAAACATTCACAGCCGCTCGGCGGGGCCAGCGTGGAGCACCTGAGGCCCCCGACCAGCCGCCGCCGCGCAGGTCGTACCGGTCTGTCGTAGTGAATCTGCGTCTCCTGCTCGATGTCAGAGTCGAGCTCCGGGACGTCAGACACGTCGCTGTCCGACTCCTCGCTGTTGGAGTCTCCGTGACTGTCTGAAGAGGAGACGATACCAAAGACACCAGAGTCACAATCACAGGCTTCTACTTTGCTTCTAATGTTTTTTAATCTCTTTTATTTTACTTTTTGGTTTTTCACATGCTCATAAATAAAATATAAAAGTATTGGCTTTACCTGCATAGTGCACAGATATCTGTACATGCTTTATCATTATTATTATTATATTTAAAACACACACTTCTTCTGCATGTTTCTCTTCCTGCTAAAAAGCATTTTTTCAGATCGTGTGACTGTTGGTGTTTCTCTGTGTTACAGTGTAAAGCACCTTGAGGTGACTGTGCGTGTGATTTAAATCTTTAGATAAATAAGCTCTTACATATGAACCCACTGACTACCTGTAGGTCTGTGTGGGACTACGACAGCCTATCCACGGCCTGCTGCGACCCCAGTGCAGCTTGGATGGCCGAGCTGGATCTAATCTCTAAAAGCTCACGTTTGTCCCAGGCTGCTGTTTCCAGCGAGCGTGTGTGGGCTGGACTCCTCCGTTACTCACGGGTACCTTGGATGTTGACGTCCGGGCCTCCGTTCATGACCGACTCCGGCAGAAACCTCCACTGGAAGAGGGCGTGGTCGGCCCCACCTGTGGTCAGCACCCACTGCAGGTCATGTGACCAGCGGACGTTGGTGACGTGGGCCGAGTGGCCGATGTACTTCTTAAACTTGGCTCCTTGGAGGAAACACAGGTTTGTTATGAAAGGAAAGAAGCAGAGGAAAGAAGGCGTGGAGCGGAGAGACGGAGGAGACGGAGACCTTTCCTCACGCAGGGGAAGCGGAAGAGCTTCACGAGGCCGAGGTCGTCTCCGGTGACGAGTACGGCGGCGGAGGGGTTGGCGTCCACGGCGTTGATCTCGGTCTGGGCTGAGTATTTAGGCCAGATGCCGCTGACCTCCGAGCCCAGCACGCCACTCCAGGAGGCCCATCGCTGACCTTTGACCTCCTCCTTACTGACCAGCTTCCCCACTGCGGGAGGACAAGAAGAAGAAGACGGCAGTGACGACCGAAGAATAAAACTCATTTCCATAGTTTAGGGCGCCGCGGCCGATCTCTGTGCTGACGTAAGTGATACACAGCAGCGCCACAGATTTTATCGACGCCGCCGCGCCGACAGAAGCAGATAGAGAAACGTGTTCACGGTGCAGATTCATATCTGCGTCGCTGCCGGCGGCGTTTCTCTCCGCGGGTTTCTGCGTGTTTTGAATTTAAGTGTTGCAGCTTGTCCTTCGCAGGCATGAATATGTGCAGGAGACAGGCTGAAGGAGCAGGACTCAACCAGGACAGCCTCCTGCGCTCCGGTGCGTGCTCCTCCCTCTGTGGAGACCTGCAACGAGCTAAAAAAGCCTTTTTACTTCTGACAGAATCATTAAATGTTTGTTTTTAGTCTGACTGAAGCATTTTGTGCAATCCTGAGATGCCAGTGTCGATACAGGCTGTGCAGCTTTGCTGTCTGAACGTTTACTGACAGCTGCACAGACGTCAGGAATCTGTTCGACTCTGCAAAGAACCCGTTTTAAATGTCTTTAGGCTCTTTGTTAGCAGCAGCCTGTCACACACTTCATTAGATAACACAGTTTGACATAAAACTGTAGTTTTGCATCAACACGGTGGAAACTTGGTGTGTCTCAGCAGGTGTGCAGCGAATCCTTCAAGGGTCTAAAACCGTCTACAGCAGATGAACATCATGTCCAGCAAAGACCCAACACGGGTCCTTCAGCTGATCCTCTGCTGTTCACTGAAGCCTCATCACAAATGTGTCGGTGAACAGGAGGAAAGGCTGCGACAAGAAGACCAGAGCATCAGGTCTGATGGATCAACATCACGGTCACGTCAGTCAGTGGTGACGTCAGCAGGTTTTTATCATATACACTGTATTTACATGTATTTACATGTATTTACACGTGTGTTTGCACGTTTCAATAAATCATTGAAAGTATTTGCAGAACCAAACGCTCCCACTGAAGGCTGTGAGGCTAGGCGCTAAGCACTGATGCTCGCTAACGCTAACATGTCGACCTGCGCTTAAAGATAAAACCTTCATCAGGCTGCTGTGTCACCTGGTCACACGTGTGATGCTGTTGGTCGTGACCTCTGCACCCAGCGGATACCCGGAGTGTTGTACCAGGAACAAACAAAATAAAACGACTTGCAGGAGGCGGAGCCCCCTCGGGCCCCCATGAGCCACGGCCCTGCACTGAGCTGTCAGTAATGAGCACGCTGCAGGTAGTGAAACTGTCCTCAGAGTACTGCGGCCCCTTTAACAGGAAGTCTGCAGTAAACTGTGAGAAAAAAGAGATTTTTTGATGGTCCGATCTCGATAATGAGGCTCTTGAGTCCAAAGTTAGTAAAACATCAGAGACGCATTAAAGTGAAATAAAAGAGGCTGAAATAAGCCGAGTTTCTTTATACAGCAGCTCATTAAACTCTGAGGCCTCACAGGGATGTAACAGGCTTTGTTTTTTTTAGTGGGACCCAAAATAGTGACGAATATCTTCATCATGAGAACAAAGACGTTAAAGCTTCTTATTACTGTTTTCAGAGCTTTCTTGAAGCTCGTCCTCGTGCCTCTTTTATCACGATGCGTCCAGGATCCTGACAATGAGCTGCGTTTAGATCCCACACTTAGAAGAGCACATCGCTCTGATCATCAATATTAAACAACATCATTTAATTTCTTAAATATTATAAAAACATAGATTTTGGCAACAATTATTGTCTTTATTCTTAAAATATGTGGACTGTAAATACACGTACGTGACTTTAGTGTTTATATTTGAATATAATCTGATTAAGAATTGAGATTATTATTATTGTTATCCTGTAATTCAGAGAAGCGTCTCAAGTTTGATCGATTGATTCTTTAAAATGAGGAGGTGGCTGGGGTGAGCGAGGTCTGGGCTTCTCTGCTTAGGCTGCTGCCCCCGCAACCCGGCCCCAGACAAGCGGAAGAAGATGGATGTAAATCATCCACAGCTGCCCTGGTGGTGTTCAGGAGGTGGGAATGAGCAGGAGAGCTCCAGCTTCTGCAGACGAGCGCTACCTGCAGAGCAGACGGACGTCTCCAGCGCCCACTTGGTCCTCAGAGGCCGATTAAATATGAAAACACAGAGTCAGCTAAACCAGCGATATTAAAAAGAATGGATGCTGACATGGCTCCAACTTTTTTTTAAACATCAGCATTCTGCAAAAACAGCACGACAGCATATTCACAAAGATACGAGAGCATGGAGTCGGCGTCACAGGGTTCACTTTAAACTCAGTTTATTTCTGCTGGTTTTATTTTACTTTGTCACTTTAACGCTTTCAATGTTGGTTTAGGTTTTGTAGGCCCAGTGTAAGATAAAGAAGGATTATTCTGAGCTCTAAATCATGCAAAGCTACTCAGGCGGAGGCCAAGAATAAAAAGATGGTGAGAATGAGCAGAATCAGCCCAGCTTCAGGTTTGACCTACGACCCCAGAGACTCACGGGGCATCCGGTAGAAGAAGCGGTCTCCAGCTCCGTCGTTGGTCTGCAGGATCTTGCTGTCCAGCGTCCAGTCCAGGTGAGTGATGAAACTGGAGGACTGGCTGCACTCTCCAACCTGCAGACAGTCAGAGACGGAGTTAGCTTCGCTTCTAACATCTCAACCTTCTTCGCTGTCTCTCCAACACGACCTTCTTGTATCTCTGAGCGACAGCGTAGATGTCCACCAGTCCATCGTTGGAACCGACAGCGAGGTAGGCGCCGTCCGGCGAGAACTTCATCTCGTGGATCACCTCCTTCCTGTCCTTGATGTGAACGACCTCAGTCATGTCCCTGAGAGGAGCGGAGACCAGCACACGCATACGTTACAAAAACAGCGTGACTGTGTTTGTACAGCACATTTAACGTAAAGGTTTGTTCAAGTTAAAGGCCAGAGAGTAGAAATGAGTTTGCTTATAAGCAGAAATCTTAAAAGTAGAAACGGGTCGGGCGGTGAAATGGGACGGTATTCGATATTCCAGAGATTCGGAGTAAGAGCTGAAAAAGCTGCATCGCTCTAACTTTAAGTCTAAATCCTAATATGGACGATCACCTGATCAGCAGGCCGCGATGCTCTGACAGGAGCGTGAACACGACAAGGATCAGACCGGTGCAGCCGTGCCGGCACATTTAAAATCTTTAAAACGATCAAATCAAGCCTAAAACTGACAGGAAGTCAATGCAGTGACTCCAAAACTGGAGTAATCACATGTTCGTGTCCCAGACTGATGGATGCATGACGCTGAGTGTCAACGGAGGCAGCACAAACATAACAACCTCTTTTATTCTTTCACAAACATAAAATTAAATTCATGTTTATTCTTTAGGTCTTTAAGACATTTTAAACAAAGCAGGAGTAACGTATGTAAAGAAAGCAGTGATGGGCCAAAACTAGAGCCTTGGGGGACTCCACAGGACAGAGAGAGGAAGAAAACCATCAACACTTTACAGAAACAGCTTTAATTTGTACACAGGCACCAAGACTGCACGTACATAATCTGTCATTCACATAGGAAACCAATTAAGAGCTGTGTGTGTGTGTGTGTGTGTGTGTGTGTGTGTGTGTGTGTGTGTGTGTGTGTGTGTGTGTGTGTGTGTGCGTGCGTGCGTCACCTGACTCTCAGCACAGTGAAGGATCCGTCCTTCATGCCCAGAGCCAGCTGGGATCCGTCCACGC